TGTCTCCATACACCATAAACGACTCTTTTCCTGGCGGATTTACTTTAACTATCTTCTTCCTACACATTATTTTTGGCATCATTGGCGCTAAGCCAATCCATTCCTAAAACTATGTCGAAACCATTTAACTCGATAGGCAATAATTCCTCGTGGAACTTATTCCCATCCAAGACAATGATGATGTTTTTCATACGATGGCTAACAGGTACAAACTTGCCACTAGCAATTTCGACTAATAAAGCATTAACTAGTCTATCAACAGGCAAAGCTAGTTTTCTACCAAATTCATGCGATATAAAGGAGTAATTGGCTCCAGAATCAAACAAAATTTGGGCAGGCAATTCGTTTACGAGAAAGGTACCTGAAGCGACATTGGCTTCTTCTTTCGCAGCTTCGAGTGTCATCTGAAAGGCTCTCGCCTTCGGCTTTGGTGGCAGATTGGGTTTCGCTGCGTCTTTCTTCTTCGAGCAATCCCTCAAAATATGCCCTTCTTCATGGCACCCATGACAAACGCTATTAGTGAAGGTGCATTCATTGGCATAATGCCCTGACTTTCCACACTTGTGACAAGTGACTCCCACGCTGCATTTCCCAGCATGTTTCTTCTTACACTTGTCACACCACTTGGCTTCAGCTCCTCCTCCGAATTTTCTCGAACCAGACTTCGAGAATTTGTTCTTTTTATTGGAACATGAAGTTCCTTCAAACTTTCTCTTTTCGCCAACTTCAACCTTGCCGGCGGCTCTCCCCTTGATCATATCTTCAACAGACTTGGTAGCCCAGATAGCTGCCTCCAAAGTAAGTGCCTGATGTACTGGCACCGCATACTCCCATGGAAGTCCCTTTGCGTACCTATCAATTTTCGCCAGCTCATCTGGGACAATACGCAAAGCAAACTCCATTTTGTCTGTGAAGTTATTCGTATACTCGTCAACGGTCATACTCCCCTTCTGCAACGTTAGAAATTGGTTTTCTAACTCAAGTACGTTTTGGGCCGAGCAGTACTTGCGCTTAAAGTGCACCAAGAACTCTGCCCAATTCATTTGCAATGGCTCATTAGGGCTTAAGGTTTTCCCCAATGTGTTCCACCAACGAGCAGCACTACCCCTGAACTGACGCACTGCAAAGGTGGTTTGTAACTTGCCTTGGCAATCACAAGTCATGAAAGCCAACTCCATTTCCGAGATCCAGTCCATAACTCCGACAAGATCTTCTTTTCCAGTGAAGGTCGATGGCTTGCAAGTCATAAAGTACTTATACTTGCACCCATTTCTCTCCACTCTACCCTCGTGGTTATTCCTCCCAACCACGGGCGGTTCACTATGACCAACCGATCTGCTATTGTTCCCTTCTTCAGATCGATCGTCATTTAGTTCACGTCGTTCAACAGGAACTGAAGGTTCATCCCTATTGTTCAGCAACATTTGCCTCAACTCCTCCCTCTGTTCAGCCATCATGGTCTGAATCACAACTCGTACTCCAGCCATGGTGATGGGTTCGGGTGCAGCTCCTACTATAGGCACCTGTTCCACCACTTGGGGGTTGAGGTTGTTGGTTTCTGTTTGCATTTCCCGCTCCACTTCTAGTTTTTGCCATTACAATCTATATACCGAATAAGGCGAATTTAGGTCTTATCCTTGTTAGATATTTTAATTCCCTTATCATTCTGAAATGTTTACATGTTAGTTCTAATCTCGTAATCATACGCTTAGAATCCTACACACATAAGGTTTCCAGATCCGGTCGGCAACAGACCATAGATCCGAACAAATAATGGCATATATGGCAACATATAGCATTTAGCACATAAAGGCATTTTAGGCACCTTTCCTAAAATAAACTAGTGCTCGTGTCTAAAATATGGTAGACACTCACCTCACAATCATCACTTAGCATTCTAAGTTTAAGTCTAAAAATCCTACAATTTCTTAGTTCGCTTAAACTAATGCTCTGATACCAACTGTGACATCCCCTAATTTCTCGGTCAGAAAAGACCGATTTAATTTATGCTTTTTAAAATAAAATCAGAGAAATCTTTTCAAAAGATGTTGCGGAATAGGTCCCCAAAATAAAACATGATAAAAGTTTATCAAAACCCTTCTTTAAGAAGGTATATATTTTCCATATATATATCAAAACCTCGGGATGTCATGTTCCGATACAGATCAAAAGCATAAACAAGACATTATAAGCCTTTCAACAGTTATTTACAACTATTGGCCTATAATCCAAAAAAATCTCTCATCGTCCTCCGACTATGCTCGGGGTCCACTACCTGTAATCATAAAAAGCTGAGTGGGTCAGGCTTGGGAGCCTGGTGAGCATATAGGGTTTTCAACCCACAATAATAATAACATATTAAGTTCACCAATCAACAATAAACCTGATTACCCATTCCCATTGTCCTCACTTTACGTCCCTAAACACCTAACACAAGGGACTTAGCCTAAGGAATATCATCGGGTTAGACACTACTGCTAAGGGGACTCCTCAGCCATACATGTCCTAAAGGCAACCATGAGGGGGATTAGAGTACACCAATGAACATTTAGTTCATCAACACCTACAAGTTGCGAACTTGCTAGTGTACCACTGGACTGTCTAGAAAGGTCCGTGATCGTCATCTATACTCCGCTAGACGACTATAACAACACCAACAACAACACTGACACCGAGGCCTCTCATCATTTTAACACCCACCGACTATTTTTTCTACCCATGTTCTACCCTACATATTTGTAGATAAAAATACATATACAGTTTAAAACTTGTATAAAACATCTATTCAACAGTCACCTCAAATAAACAATTAACATATTTACACATAGCACATATTTTAAGCTAAATACTTCATATCTATGTGTAAAGTGAAAGTAACTACACACTCACATGTTTTGATGAAAATCGGGCAGCAATTCGTTTCCTAAAACGTTCGTTTCTAATAAAACCGGGAGTTTTATTGAGAAACCGGGCTCTGCAAAGGTTGGGCTTCGAAACCGAAAAGATAAATTTTCCCGGGCTTCACGGGCACTTCGTGGCGTATTCCGGGGGTTATAATCGATACCGGGGCTTCGGGGGAAGTTAGAATGAAAGAAATATGGGTTTAGGGGCTAAATTTGACAAGTTTTCAAAATACCCCCGGGAGGTCTCGCACCCTTCTATTTATAGGGGCGAGCCTCCTGATCCAACGGCTGAGAAGCCTCCAGGTGTGCTGATCCGAGGACTCGCAGGGGATGGCTCGCACCTGCGAAGGCTTGCTGGCAGCTCCTTACTGGACCGAGGTCTAGGGTCCGAAGTAGAGGCATCGTGGCATGCTGCGAGGGTTCGGTCTCGTGCAAGAAGGTACGTGTCGCATCGCTACTGGACCACTTCGGATCAGGTCAGGTGCTCGGATGACTCAGCAGCTCGGACACGTGGCTCGCCTGACTCACCAATCTCGGACACGTGGCACGTTCTAAGCGAGGGTGACGTGGCAAATCGTGACTATGCGAATTTTCTCGGTTTTTGTGCAAAAACTTCTAAAATCCATAACTTTCGCATACGAGCTCAGTTTTTGACGTTCTTTATATGCACACGTAGGTAAAATTACGCTCTATAACTTCTGTTTAGACTCCGTCGGCTAATTTTGACTTTAATTTTTATATTATTATTTTTAACAGACCGGGACAGGAAATCCGTTAAAAATTCATAACTTCTTCATCCGACGTCCGTTTTCGTCAGACTTTTTACCATTGTGCTACTATTTACGAGACCTTCGATTCTCGTTTAGGTCGTGTCGGCTAAAAATTACTCGATCTAAAATTCGATTTTTTAGCTGTCTACTGCTAAGCTGAAACTTCGAAAAATCATAACTTCCTCATACGAAGTCAGATTTGGGCGTTCTTTTTATACCTACTCTCGGTTTAACGAGCACTACGAGTTTCGTTTAGATCACTAAGGCTAAAAAGTAGTTTATCAAAAACTCACTTTTTACGACATTCAGCACCGAGCCGGTTTTGTCGTGAAACTTCGACAGGTCATAACTTCTTCGTTATAACTCGGATTTCGGCATTCTTTATATATCCGTAATCCTTGTCACGACCACTACAACTTTCTTAATAGATATCGACTTTATCTAATATTTATTTTCGACGCTCATTTTTATTCTTAATTAATTAACTCCTAGTAATTAAGCATAAAACACATAAAACACATAGAATTCACATAATTCCTTTTTCATTTCTTCAAAATGAGTTACAAAGGTTAACCTAGACTATCACTTTAATATTAATGCCTAGGCTAGAAACACGAGTGTTACAGAAAATTGGGCCATTAGTGGGCCTTTGTGGATCTTTTGGTTTTGGGCCTTTTTAGTTAATGAAGTTGGGCCTCAGTTTTGGTTCTTGTTGGGGTTGAGCCCAATTTGGAAAAGTGGGCCATTGGTTGATTAGTGGGCCTTTGGGTCTTTCAGGTTGTAGCTTGGGTCATAGTTTTGGTCAAGGCTAGGATAGAGGTAAAATGGTCTTTTTACCCTAGGTATGAGGTTATGGTTAAGGATTGGAACCCAATTATTAATTGAGTGTTGTTTTGATCTGTCAGTTCGGTGGTGTCGACAGGGCAACAGCTAGGGGGTTTCTTTCAGTGCGCTTTTGCATTCGTGGTGAGTTTCCTTACCAGGTTTAGCGGGTCGAAGGCACCAAGGCCGACCCATGTTTATATTATGTTGTTAGTATGCTAGTTGTCATTTTAACCATTGCATGTGCTTGTGTTTATATGTTTTCCAGGTTAAGGCCCGATGCCGGGCGGGGCCTGGTGGATATCTGTATGCTATGTATCTATGTGATTATTGCATGAGTATGTGATTATTGCCTGTTTTACCGAGCTCAGCTCGATGCCGGGCGGGGTCCGAAGCCGGGCGGGGCCTAATGACGTGCGGGGCCCACTGTATGTTTATTGTATGTTTCTTATGGTATGTGGTATTTGGGGAACTTACTAAGTTTTGTGCTTACGATTTTCAGTTTATGTTTCAGGTACTCCAGTTTTCAAATGAAAGAGCTCGGAGCGATTGCAGCGCATACACCCGGGTTTTCCGCCATATGTGATCTTTCAGAATAAACTCTGCTAATTGTTTTATTTGAAATGCTTTTCAATGTTTGGACAAAAGTTTACAATAGTGTTTTGACTATAATAAAAATGAAATTTTTATCCTTGATTTTTGGGCTGTTTCAATTGGTGCGACACGGTTTTATAAGTTGTTATATATGTTAGAGTCTCCCTTCTCTTTACAAGGCCTCTTTTGGAGAGACAATTTTGGGCTCGATATATATTTACATGGTATCAGAGCCGATGTTCCGCACCACTATGACTCAACACATCTCTATCTAACCTTATTGAGTCTCCGACTCTAAGGGGGGTATTAGTGTATTGGTGCAACATGGTCTTATAACATATATGTTAGAGTCCTCATTTTCTCTACAAGTTACATGATAAAGCCAAAGATATTTTACAAATAAATAATTATTTTATAATAAGTTTAATAAAACCAAAAGGATTTCACGAATTCCATTTACAAATAAATAATTTTATAAAAATTTCAGTCTATGGCAAGGCTCACTACTCACTAGACTAGAGGGTGTAAAAGTCTGAACGTGAGCCAAGCGAAAACTTGTGTGATCTGAGCTGTCGGTGGCTGGCAGCCCACCCTCACCCCACACTCCTCCCTCTCTGATGCATACTTGTTAACTACTCTTCTCCGTCCCTATTTCTCATATCTCCTTCTTCTTCACTTCTCTGCTACAAAATTCGTCAAATGCACTGAAACACCAAATCTATCCCCGACTCTTGTTCCGTGGTTAGAACTCTTTAGATTCATCGCTATTTCATTCTGCAATCTACACACCTTGCACTTATTTAATTCTTATTGCATTTACTGTTTCTTCAGTATCTTCTTCTGCATTTCTGTTTGTACTCAATCGAATGTAGTATCTATTGACTTGTATGTGTGGAATTCAGTTAGTTGATCCCGAAATAGTATTTAAATTACCATGATCAGTACTGATCTGCTGTTCTGATTGCAAAATGTGAGAAATCTAACTCAAATTAGGTGAACATGTGATAAACGTAATGAGTTTCGGGTGTTTCTACAGGATTCAATCGAGATTTCTACGTTTTTGCGCGGTGGGTTGGAGTTGGAGGTAGATCTGATCTAAAGTTTAGATAAAATTATTACAGTCAAGCTGGCGGCTCAGGTCAGTCGGAGGTATTCTGCCGGAAGAAATGGCAGCAATCTTGCCACTACGCATCAGGTAGCTACTCCTCTAAGTTGTGAATCTGATTTGAACGGGGTTTTTTCCTGTTTAAGTTAATGTGAAATTGAAAAGAGATTTGAATTTCCTGTTGTAGATACTTATTTATGATCTGCAATTTATTAGTAAGAAGTTCCTGTGGGTTTCTATTCATGAAATTATGATTAGAAGTTATAATAAATGAATTTTGTCAATGATTTGTATATTTATCAATTGCTGACAAGTTTACAATGTCGTTTCAGGAAAGAAATGGGAATGGCACACCTGAAAGAGAACCTATGACTCCACATTCCCTAACAAAAATGGGTTCTAGGTCAGTTAAATTATGCAGATGAAGTGATTTTTGAAGTTCCATTTTCATCTAAAACCTGTTCATTTTAATGAGAGTTTTCTTTTGTTTCTTCAGAGAGCGTAGCAGCATGGAGGATCCAGATGGGACATTATCGAGTGTTGCTCACTGCATCGAACAGTTACGCCAAAAATCATCATCTTCACAAGACAAAGAGTTCAGTCTGAAACAGTTACTAGACCTGATCAATACACGTGAAGGTGCATTCAGTGCTGTTAGTTCACATTCTCAAGCAGTTCCAGTTCTAGTATCTCTCCTAAGATCAGGGTCACTTGGTGTAAAGATCCAAGCAGCTACAGTTTTGGGCTCATTATGTAAGGAAAACGAACTACGGGTCAAAGTATTACTTGGGGGTTGCATTCCTCCGCTTCTCGCTCTTCTAAAATCAAAAGAAGGTCAAATCACAGCTGCAAAGACCATTTATGCTGTTTCTGAAGGTGATGCCAAAGATCATGTTGGATCCAAAATCTTTGCCACTGAAGGGGTTGTTCCAGTGCTCTGGGAGCAACTCGAAAAGGGTTCAAAAGTAGTTGATGATTTGCTGACTGGTGCTTTGAGAAACCTGTGTGGGACCACTGAGGGTTTTTGGTCAGCAACAGTCAAAGCTGGGGGAGAAGATATCTTGGTAAAGCTATTAACACATGACCAGTCAAACACTCAAGCGAATGTTTGCTTTTTATTATCATGTATGATGATGGAAGATGCATCTGTATGTTCAAAGATTTCAACTTCTGAAACTACAAAACAACTCCTGAAGCTGTTAGGACCTGGTTATGAACCTCCAGTTAGAGCACAAGCTGCATCTGCTTTAAAGTCTCTTTCAGCTCAAAGCAAAAAAGCAAGAAAAGATATAGCAAGTTGTAATGGCATCCCTTCTTTGATTAATGCCACAATAGCTCCTTCAAAAGAATTTATGCAAGGTGAAGATGCACAAGCTTTACAAGAGAACGCGATGTGTGCTCTTGCCAATATTTCCGGTGGGTTGTGCCATGTCATCACTAGTCTCGGTCAAAGTCTTGACTCGTGCACTTCACCTGGACAGGTGGCGGATACATTAGGAGCTTTAGCTTCTGCTCTTATGATATACGGTAATGAATCAGAAACCAACAGAGCATCAGATCCATTTGACATTGAGTTGACTTTAGTCAAACAGTTTAAGCCACGTGTGCCATTTTTAGTCCAGGAGCGCACCATAGAAGCTCTTGCTAGTTTGTATGGGAACGCCACCCTTTCAAGCAAACTTTCAAATCCTGTCTCAAAACATTTATTAGTTGGTTTGATCACAATGGCAACCAATGAAGTTCAAGACGAGTTAATAAAATCACTACTTGTTTTATGCAACAATGAGGGCAATTTGTGGAATGCTTTACAAGGTCGTGAAGGCGTTCAGATGTTGATTTCTCTTCTTGGACTTTCATCAGAACAGCAACAGGAATGTGCTGTTGCATTGCTTTGTATGTTGTCAAATGAGAATGATGAAAGTAAATGGGCAATCACAGCTGCTGGTGGAATCCCGCCACTTGTACAAATTCTTGAAACGGGGTCCGCAAAAGCACGTGAAGATTCTGCTACAATTCTTGGGAACCTCTGTAATCACAGTGAAGATATAAGGAACTGTGTTGAAAGTGCTGATGCTGTTCCTGCTTTGTTATGGCTGTTGAAAAATGGAAGCTCAAATGGGAAAGAGATTGCTGCAAAGACATTGAACCATTTGATTCGAAGATCAGATACAGCAACTATAAGTCAACTCACTGCACTGTTGACCAGTGACCTTCCGGAATCCAAAGTTTATGTTTTGGATGCGTTAAAAAGTTTACTTTCCATTGCCCCGATTACTGATCTACTACGTGAAGGTAGTGCACCCAATGATGCAATTGAAACAATGATCAAGATTTTAGGGTCTACAAATGAAGAGACACGTGCGAATTCTGCCATGGCTCTTGGTGGGATCTTTAATCTAAGAAAGGATTTACGTGAAAGCAGTATGGCTATCAAGACTCTTTCCTCTGTGATGAAACTTTTGGATTCTGATTCTGAGACCATTTTGGCAGAGTGTTGTGGGTGTCTTTCTGCAATTTTTCTATCAGTGAAAGAAAATCATGATGTGGCTGTTGTTGCAAGGAACATGCTACCTGCATTACTGACACTTTCAAGATCTTCAGCTTTACAAGTTGCAGAACAGGCTTTATCTGCTTTGGCAAGCCTTTTGTTGGACAATGAAGTTGTGGAGAAACTTTCACCTCAAGAAATCATTATGCCAGCCACTAGAGTTCTTCTTGAAAAGAAAGCCACCAGAAAAAACCATGCTGCATTAGCGATTTCCCGCCTTCGATTGGATTCTGTTTCTACCTTAACTGAGTACGTGAATGAAACTGGAACAGTTCTTGCATTGGTTTCTTTCATGGAATCGAGTAATTCTGGAGCTATTGCCACGTCAGCAGGACTAGATGCACTCGTTGTTTTGTCAAGACTAAAAGGATCAGGTGACATCAAACCTGCATGGGCAGTGCTGGTTGAACATCCAGAGAGTATAACTCCCATTGTTTCATTGATCAATGGTGCAACTACTCTCTTACAGGACAAAGCAATAGAAATCTTGTCAAGGCTTTGCCATGATCAATGTGTTGTTCTTGGAAACGCGATTCTACAATCTCATTGCACTTCTTTGATTGCAAAAAGAGTAATCGATTCATCAAACACAAGAGTTAAAATTGGTGGGACTTCGCTTCTCGTTTGTGCTACAAAAGTAAATATCCAAAGAGTGATGGAGGACCTCCATGAAGCAAATTTTCATTCCCAATTTATTCGGTCTCTTGTTTTGATGTTAAGTTCTCCTGTTTCTTCTCATTCGGAAGACATGGACTCCATAAGCATCTGCAGATGTCCTGGTGAGAAAAGGACTAGTACATCAGTTATAAATGGTGCTAGCATCTCGATCTGGCTACTTTCTGCTATTGCTAGCCATGATGAAAAATATAAAATTCAGATTACAGAAGCAGGAGCTGTTGAAATTCTTACAGGAAGAATCTCACGTCTATTGCCATACAGCCAGGTATGTATTTCAAGGTCTTTGCCTTTAGTTTAAATGGATTTATTATGATTTTGACATTTCATTCCAAAATCATTTATGCAGTTGGATGTTGATGAGGATAATAGCATCTGGATATGCACACTACTGTTAGCAATTCTATTCCAAAACAGAGATATTATACGTGCAAGTGCAACAGTAAAAGCTATTCCAGCTCTTTCTTCTTTGTTAAGATCAGAAGCGCCAGCCAACAGATACTTTGCTGCACAAGCTATATCCAGTCTAGTCAGCAATGGAAGCAGGGGAACACTTCTTTCTGTTGCCAACTCAGGAGCTGCAAATGGGCTCATATCATTACTCGGGTGTTCCAATTCCGACTTACATGATTTCCTTCAATTATCCCAAGAATTCTCTTTGCCACCTCACCCAGAAGAAGTCGCTCTCGAGAGATTATTTAGAGTTGATGACATCAGAGTCGGTGCCACTTCACGAAAGTCAATCCCCACTCTTGTTGACCTCCTGAAACCAATCCCGGATCGACCCGGTGCCCCGTTTCTCGCACTCGGACTTCTAATCCAGCTCAGTACTGATTCTCCATCCAACAAGATCGCTATGGTGGAATCCGGTGCTTTAGAAGCTCTAACAAAGTACCTCTCACTCGGTCCACAAGATGCAACCGAAGAAGCTGCCACCGATCTACTTGGCATCCTATTTGGCACTGCTGAGATACGAAAACACGAGTCAGCATTCAGTGCGGTGACTCAGCTTGTTGCTGTGTTACGTCTAGGTGGAAGGCGTGCGCGATACAGTGCTGCTAAAGCACTTGAAAACCTCTTTTCTGCTGATCATATAAAAAACGCGGAATCTTCTCGCCAGGCTGTACAACCATTGGTGGAAATTTTGAACAATGGTTTGGAAAAGGAACAGCATGCTGCTATTGCAGCATTGGTTAGGCTTCTCAGTGATAACCCATCCAGAGGGCTTACTGCTGCTGATGTGGAATTAAATGCGGTTGATATCCTTTGTAGAATTCTTTCATCGAATTCTTCAATGGAGTTGAAAAGTGATGCTGCTGAATTATGCTGTGTGCTATTCGAAAACACAAGGATCAGATGTACTGTTACTGCTGGTCGTAGTGTCGAGCCGTTAATTTCGCTTCTCGTTTCCGAATTTACCCCTGCTCACCTTTCGGTTGTTCGTGCACTCGATAGACTCATAGATGATGAGAATTTAGCCGAATTGGTTTCAGTACACGGTGGAATAATCCCTCTTGTGGGACTTTTACACGGGAAAAACTACATGCTTCATGAAGCAACCTCTTTAGCTCTCGTGAAAATGGGAAAAGATAGACCTTCTTGCAAGATTGAAATGGTGAAAGCTGGAGTCATTGATAATATTCTCAAAATCCTCCAAGAAGCACCGGATTTTCTTTCTGCTGCTTTTGCTGAATTGCTAAGAATCTTGACAAACAATGCTATAATCGCAAAAGGTCAATCTGCAGAGAAATTGGTCAAACCCCTTTTCGTGTTGTTAACAAGACCAGAGCTTGGACCCGATGGACAACATAGTGTTTTGCAGGTTTTAGTGAATATCTTTGAGCATGAACAATGTCGTACTGATTACATCTTGTCCCCTCACCAAGCCATTGAACCTCTCATTCCTTTACTAGATTCTAATTCTACAGCAGTTCAAAAGACATCAGCTGAGCTTTTATCTTATCTTCTTCTTGAAGAACATTACCAGAAGGATTCCATGATACAACAAGTGATCGGTCCATTAATGCGAGTTCTTGCTTCCGGGATTCCGATTTTGCAGCAAAGAGCTTTAAAAGGTCTTGTTAGCATTGCACTCACTTGGCCTAATGAGATTGCAAAAGAGGGTGGTGTAAGTGAAGTATCAAGAGTCATAATGCTATCCGATTCCTTTCTTACAAATCCTTTGTGGGAATCTGCTGCTACTGTTTTATCTAGTATACTTCAGTTCAGTTCAGAGTTCTATCTTGAAGTGCCCATTGCAGTTTTGGTACGTTTGCTACATTCAAACTCAGAAGCCACTGTAATCGGTGCACTGAATGCTCTTTTAGTCCTGGAAAGTGATGATTCCATGAGTGCAGTAGCCATGGCAGAAAGCGGTGCAATTGAGGCTCTTTTGGAGCTTCTGAGGTGTCATTTATGCGAAGGAACTGCTGCAAGATTGCTTGAAGTTTTACTACATAATGTGAAGATTCGAGAAACGAAAGCTATCAAATCAGCTATCTTACAGCTATCACAATACCTGTTACATCCGCAAACTCAAGCTCAACAAGCGAGATTGTTGGCAACTCTTGCTCTTGGAGATCTGTTTCAGAATGAAAGTTTGACACAATCTAGTGATGCTGTTGTGGCGTGTCGTGCTTTGGTGAATGTGCTTATCGATCAACCTTCTGAAGAAATGAAAGTGGTGGCTATCTGTGCTTTGCAGAATCTTGTGATGTCTAGTCGCCCAAATAAAAGAGCAGTTGCAGAAGCTGGCGGGGTCCAGGTGGGACTGGATCTGATTGGTTCAAGTGATGGTGATACATCGATTCAGGCAGCAAGGTTTATTAAGCTTCTTTTCTCTAACAATGCCATCCAAGAGTATGCCTCTAGTGAAACTGTCAGAGCTATAACTGGTAATTTTTTTTTTCTCTTACTTGGTTATGCTATATATCTGTAAGGCCCCATTTGATATTGATGCTCTGATTCATCTAATCATGCAGCTGCTATTGAAAAGGATTTGTTGGCTAATGGAATGGTAAACGAAGGGTATCTGAAAGCTCTGAATGCTCTCTTTGGCAATTTCCCACGTTTAAGAGCCACTGAACCTGCAACATTAAGCATCCCACATTTAGTGACATCTCTGAAGACAGGGTCAGAAGCAACTCAAGAAGCTGCATTAGATGCACTATTTCTTCTGAGGCAAGCATGGTCAGCTTGCCCACCTGATGTCTCCAAAGCCCAATCAGCTGCTGCTGCAGATGCAATTCCATTGTTGCAGTATTTGATCCAATCAGGGCCTCCCCGATTTCATGAGAAAGCCGAATTCTTGTTGCAGTGTTTGCCGGGGACATTAACAGTGACGATTAAACGTGCCAATGATTTGAGACAGTCAGTTGGAAACCCTAGTGTGTACTGCAAGGTTACACTGGGAAATTCTCCTTCAGTGCAAACTAAGGTACTTTTATACTGTCTGACTGGATAAAGTGTTGTCTGGATAAATGATGTTTAGAAAATATCTAAGAAAATGACGAACCAATACTAAGTAAAAAAGAAACACTTATATATTATATTATATATAGCTGATGAGATTAAGTTGTTTTTGTTGTTGAATGGGTTGCAGGTGGTATCAACTGGGCCAAATCCTGAATGGGATGAGAACTTTGTGTGGTCATTTGAAAGCCCTCCAAAAGGCCAAAAGCTACATATCTCATGCAAGAATAAAAGCAAGATGGGGAAGGCAAGTCCATCTTTATATTATACCTCAAAAGTCCAAACAATATCTATTACTTCATATGCCCTAAAATAAGTGCTATATTTTCACACAATAAACACACTTAAATTTGTCAAATATAAATTATTAATAGCTTGACTAAATTACATATATGGTCCCTAAGTATATAGCTCATTTTTTTCAATTTATGTCCCATAAAGTCTTCTCTTGCGGTTTTGGTCCTTTTTTGAGGTTCTTGTAATGTTTTCTTTTGTCCTTGTTCAAAGTAAAATGAATACTTTTTGGCTTTTGGTCCCCAAATATAGCTGATTTTTGCAAATTTGGTCCGAAAGAAACAGGCATTTTCTTGGTAGAGGGACTAAAACATTACAAAAACCTCAAATAATGACCAAAATTGCAAGAGAAAACTTTTTGGGATCAAAATTGAAAAAATCAACTGTATTTAGGGACCAAAAATGTAATTAAGTGAACATGTATTAAAATTAGAGTAAATTACGAATTTGGTCCTTGTGCTTTTACAAAAAAATCACAAGTTCGGTCCAAACTTGAAATAGTCCCATTGTCGATCCTTAAGTTTGTATTTATGGTCCCCTGTGTTTTACTCAAAATCCCAAGTTCAATCCAAAATTTGAAGTCATTTTATATGGGTCAGGGACCATATCTGCTACAAATACAAACTCAACGACTACATTGGGATGATGTGATGATTTCAAAATATGGACTGAACTTGTGATTTTGGGTCAAACTTAGGGACCATTAATGCAATTTACTCTTAAAATTATGTTATTGAAGTGTATTATGCACCCACTTCGGTCACCTTATTTTAGAAAAGGGGTAGAGTGGGGAAATCATCTAATAAAGAGCATCTTGATTAGTATAAGGGCATTATGGGTATTTTATACTATTTTGGTTGTTATGACAGATAGTATAAGAAAGTAGTGGGATAGGAAGGGAGGTATCGATCTTTTCTGTTAAACCTGGAATTATTTCCTTTGGGAGAGTGGCTATCTCGAATCAGCTAACCTATCCTTTTGTTCTTGATTCATTTGAGTAATAGTGAAGGAATTGCATTCTGTTCTTTACATTGTGTTGTTCTTGTTGTGGTTACTCATTAAATTAAGTGAGTTCATAACAAAGTGTACAATAAATTGAAGCATACAAAAAAAAATACTGATAATTGTGTGTTGTGTTGGGCAGAAATCATTCGGGAAAGTGACTATCCAGATTGACCGTGTTGTGATGATGGGAGCAGTGGCGGGTGAATACGCTTTGTTGCCACAAAGCAAAACTGGGGCCTCCAGGATTCTTGAAATAGAATTTCAATGGTCAAACAAGTAAAATTATCTGGCTCATGAGTATATATAGCGAGGTCATACGTTCAGATCTTTTTTTGGTACACACAAAGAATAAATCATAACAAGAAATCACAAGGACGTGTGTTATTTTTCTCTTTTATTGTGCCAAATGGTATATATATTATTATTATCATTTAGTTAATTCTTTTGTAGAATCCATGAGTTGTATAACCAACTTTATTCTGCCAGTGTGTATTGTATGCTTGTAAGATATTTGTAGCATTTGTTGTTTGAGAATTGAGATACTGAAATTTATTCTTCATTTGGTAATATAAAAACTGAAATCTGTGATTAGGAATAGGAAATCCGACAAAACCAGGACTGGATTTGGCTATGCTTGATTTCACATTTCCAAACCGGTAGGCTCCTCAAGACCTCAACCTTGCCAAATTACTTTGATTTGAACAGCATAATCGGTTTAAGCCAAATCATAACTACCATACTAAATTTGGGCAAATTTATTAAATTGATCATATTTCAAACTTTTTATTAACCACCTCATTAATGTATATTCTTTAGGTTAATGTCATAATCATAACCGGGTAACATTCTGTTTAAGATAAGGATAACTACAGTAAAGTCCCAATATTTTGGCAAAAGTATTAAAAAAGTCTCAAATTTTTTTTTTAATAAAAAAGCCCAAAAAACCGGATAATTCATTCAGTTTAGTCCTTTTTGACCTTTTCAGCAGGTCACCCATGCCACATGGCATGACAACTGGACAGGTGCTGACGTGCCACGTCAGCGAATTACTCTTTAATATGAAAAAAAGAGTTTTTTTGAGTAAAATGAAGAAGTGGGATTTGAACCAACAACCTTCCAAACACAAACCAACCACCTTTCCACTAGGCTACATGACATTTTGTGTTTTAACTCCTCAAAATTGGAATATAACCTTTTAAACGCATAAGTCTTAATTACAATTCTTATTATTATAATTATAATAATTATTATTAATATTATTATTATTTATAAAACGTAAATAATTTTAATATTTCGTAATGCATAAAAATATAAAAAGAAAATAATTTTAATATTTCGTAATAATTTTAATATTTTATATATAAAAAATATATAAAATGCATAAAAAAGATATTTAATATACATAAAAATTACGTTTATATATATATATATATATATATATATATATATATATATATATATATATATATATATTACGTAAAAAAATACGTAAAAAAAATACGTCATATACACATACATGTTTTAGAAGGTTTTTCGTAAAAAAAAATACATAAAAATTTTGCATGTGTATAAATATATAAAATGCATAAAAAAATATTTAATATAAATAAAAATACGTAAAAATACATATAAATACGTAAAAAAAACTTTATATATTTAACATATTTTTTACGAAATATTAAAATTATTTACGTTTTATATATAATAATAATATTAATAATAATAAATATAATTATAATAATAATAATTGTAATTAAGACTTATGCGTTTAAAAGGTTATATTTCAGTTGTGAGGAGTAAAAACACAAAATGTCATGTAGCCTATTGGAAAGGTGGTTGGTTTGTGTTTGGGAGGTTGTGGGTTTGAATCCTACTTCCTCCTTTTCCTTAAAAAAGTTGTTTTTTTTATATTACCACATCAGCACCTGTCCAGTTGTCATGCCATGTGGCATGGGTGACCTGCTGAAAAGGTCAAAAGGGATTAAACTGAATGAATTATCTGGTTTTCTGGACTTTTTTATTCAAAAATTTTTTTTTAAGACTTTTTTAAAACTTTTGCCAAAATATTGGGACTTTACTGTAGTTATCCCTTAAGATAATTTCATTTATAACCTTCTAAACTTTCATATGTAAAACTTCAAAGTACATTTATATCTTTATAAAACCTATAATATCACATATATACCTAAATACTTAATTTAATTTTATTTAATATATTAAGAAAATAAAAACACCATTTTTAAATTGATTTTTTATTGTTAAGAAAATAATTAACTTATAACAATACATTATACAATATTACTCTGTTGCTATATGGGCTTCCGACTACTTTGATAGGTGGTTTTCGTAGCCCTTCTAACGAGTATTTCAGAAGACACGTTGCAAAAGTGGACAACTGCTATGTTAGAAAGCCATACTGAGGGTTGGACCCCGATGTTGTTCTCTAATGCCTAAGTTAGACGTTGTATGAAACTTAATGAATGAATTGCAAAGAGTCTTAGGTCCTCCTGAAAACTTACCTTACTGTGGTCTTTGTCTCTTTGAGGGTTTTTAGGCTATCCCCTTTAGCAACCTAATCCAATCAAAATTTTCTATAAAAAATCAATTTCTCTCTTTTCCACTTATACAACCTAATCCAATCAAATTATTCATACTCATTAGCAACCCAACCCAAACTTATTTTTATTTAATAAATATAATTTATGTTTGTTTTTAGTTTACTAAAAACTACTAGAAATATTAAATCTAAATATTTTATTTCAAAACAAATAAATAATTACTTTAAATATAAAATTAAAAAAAAGGATTTAGAAATAAAGAATTGGAATAGGATATGAAATATTTATATATTATACTTTATTTACACGACAAAAACATCACAAATTTTGTTTTGTCTTTTTTTTTTTGTTTTTTGTTTTTACGGAGATAATATTTGTTCTTTAAAAATAATAAGTTTTATCTAAAAAAATATATTAAACAACCAATTCAAAAGGGAAAATGACTTATCAAGGTAATTAATTTTTCGATATGTTTACATTGGGTAACTATCTTTTTTTTTGTACACATCTAGGTAACAAACTTGTTGGAAGTGTTCACATATGACCATTATGACCTGTTGTAACAGGTTACATCCTAGATGTTAACACTTTCAACAAGTTCGTTACCTAGATGTGTACAAAAAAAGTAGTTACCCAAATATGAAAAAAAACGAAAAGTAAGAGTAAATTATACGAATGGTCCCTGTGGTTTGGGGGAATTTGTGTTTTTGGTCCCTAACTTATTTTTTTAACTCTGATGGTCCATACTGTTTATTTTTGTTGCACGTTTGGTCCCTGGCTTACCTAAAAAGACTATTGTGCCCTTATTAATTTATTTTTTAATTAATTTTCTTATTTATGTATTTATTTTTTATATATTTAAAAAAATTAATAGACCCCACATATCTGTATCTCCTCAACGTAAACCTGAAACCACATTTGAGAAATTTAATTTGGGTCTCACCGGTCACCATCCTATCTCTCATCCTCCTCAACTTTTATTTATTTTCCATCTTTAGTGACATCGACGTCTTCACCATGCTTCTTTTTTTGGTCCTTCAACTCTGGCGAACCAACACCATAACTCACTGTCTCTTCATCTTTATTGGGTTCACTGGGTTGTGGTGTTAATTCGATGGAGTTGAAGGACCGAAAAAAGAAGAGATGGTGAAGACGTCGATATCACTAAAGATGGAAAATAAATAAAAGTTGAGGAGGATGAGAGATGTGATGGTGAGGAGATACATATATGTAGGGTCTATTAATTTTTTTTAAATATATAAAGAATAAATACATAAATAAAAAAATTAATTAAAAAAATTAATTAATAAGGGCACAATAGTCTTTTTAGGTAAGACAGAGACCAAACGTGCAACAAAAATAAATAGTAGGGACGATCCGAGTTAAAAAAAATAAGTTAAGGACCAAAAACACAAATTCCTCCAAACCACAGGGACCATTCGTTTAATTTACTCTTACTTTTCGTTTTGTTCATATTTTGGTAACTATTTTTTTTGTACACATCTAGGTAACGAACTTGTCAAAAGTGTTCACATCTAGGATGTAACCTGCTACAGCAGGTCATAATGGTCATATGTGAACACTTCCAACAAGTTTGTTACCTAGATGTGTACAAAAAAAAGATAGTTACCCAGATGTGAACATACCGAAAAATTAATTATCTTAATAAGTCATTTTCCCAATTCAAAATTGAACACATCAAAAATTGATAAGGAAAGTGGGTGTGATCTTTGCTAAGCTAGGTTGTTCCTGTGGCTTAGGCTACTAAAAATAAATTAATTTTACTTTTTTTTCTTAAAAATATAATGAGTGGCTCGTTAAAACCTCTCAATGGGAGTAGCCTTATAGACCTTTTTATTTTTTGGGTATTTGGTTTCGTTCGGTCTTTCTCCATTATCTGGATAAAGACAATTAATTGGTTGTGTGCAACCTTTATATTTTATTGCCAATATCGTATGTATATGCAAGTCATGGGATATGTCTCGTATATTGTTGCTCATCCGATGTGCATTGATATTTCCTTTTGGGTCAAGCTCCGTCAACTGTCTTTTGTCGCTTGAACCTAATACTAACTAGGTCAGTATTCTTTATTTTCTCCCCTCTGTCCTACTGGATACGGGCTGATATTGGGTTGAGCTAGGTGGCTGCCTCGGATACACCATTACCCTTCTCCCGCATTACTATTCTCAACCTCTTTACTTTATGAATACTTACAAAATATTGACACACACATTGAAATTGGTTTTTTCGTGATTTTACTTGTAACTAAAGAACCAGATGAAGAACAAAATTATTTAGAAGAGGATAATCGGTCTCCTAAATCGAATGTATGAGATGAAATATATCATTATTTAGAAGAGAATAATCCTTACAAAATATTGACAGCCAAGGTGTTAATACTAGAGGTTCATGGACCTCCGGTGCAAGATTTAAAAACCACAGGGATCATCCATTAAAAAAAATCAAATTTTGGACTAAAAGTGCAGATTGGGCAAAATATAGCGACCAAAATGTAATTTACTCTTCCTTTTATAGTTAAGCTTGTTTGAATGTCATGGGATCACGATATAAGCGTTGAACGACCAAGCTTCACCACTTTTCCCGTCGGTGACGCTTTCATTCTTCTCCGATCAGCAAACTCTACCTAATCATCACACAGCCACTGTCGCCACCGTCTTCTCCGAAGTCGAGTACCTGCACGAATTCAAATCTGTCCTCGCACGATGTCCATATCGCGTTCCGGTGGTCAAGGGACGAGCGAAGTTGGCAATGTCGATTTCCTTAGGATCTGCGATGGCCTATGCTACGACTTATCGTCTCTACAAGAGCTCGCCTGTCGTGGCGCATGGAGATCGGTTCTCGATAAAGTCGCTCAAGCACGTTCCAAATCTCTCCTCTCTAAACCTCACGAACATCTCATTTATCTTTCCTACAACGCCATTGCTCTGACTAAACTCCGCCGTTTCTCTGAAGCAGTCGCCGAGCTCGATTTGGTGGAAAAAGGCCTCGATATTTACAGGTACGAAACTTATCCACATCATTACCCTAATCGACATGGCTCCATGGCCCCTTTTGTCCTCCGTTGGTTGCACGCTGAACTACCTTCCAAATTAGGAAGACGTCAAGAAACTTTAGATCGATTCTACTTGTTACTACAGTTCATTAGGGAAAAATTAACAAAAAATTTGCCGAATGCGTCACGTCAAGTGTGGAGCAAACGCGAGGGTTTGGTGATTAATTCGATAATCAGTCATCAATTATGTCATAAAGAGTTCGGAGTGTGTTTGGATTTGATGAAAGACTTGATTAAACGTGATTCAACTCCTATAGCTCGAGCAATTCTGATGGCGAAGCTAGGGTACATCCAAATGCAATATGGGGATCTGGAAGGTGCCAGGGGAACTTTTGGTGTGATTGAGGGGATTGTGAATGATGGAAATGGAGAAATTGAGATGAAAAATCTTGTGAATAGGAATAAAGCGTTGATGTTTATGGTTGAAAAAGACTATGTGTCTGCTGTGAGGGAGTATCAGGAGTGCATAGATAGAGATGGATCAGATGTTGTTGCTATTAACAACAAGGCACTTTGCTTGATGTATATGCGTGATTTGTCTGACTCCATTAAGGTGATGGAGAATGCTTTGGAGAGAATCCCTACAGCTGCATTGAATGAGATATTTGTGGTGAATTTGTGTAGTATGTATGAGTTGGCTTATGTTAATCATTCGGATATCAAGAAGACACTTAGCAGTTGGATTGCTCGTGTGGCACCTGATGATTTTGATACTTCGAGTACTCGCATATGAGGTACTTACTTACTTTCTTTCTTTCAAAGAATGATTCTTTTATCTAAATGCAATTTTTTGACGTTTTAATGCATGTTTTCATTTTATGGCTTTTCTGATGATTCTAGCTATATTTGATTTCATGTTAGAGTAAGATTTGTTCAACATTTGTGATTGGTTGAAGATAGACAAAATTACATCACTTGTCTATGTGGTTTTCCAAAAAAAGACGTAATTAAGACAACTATCAAAACTTCTACCTGTTTGGTCCTTATGGTTTCAAAAACTTGTTTGTGTGGTTTTTGGCCAATTTTTTTATTAAGAAAAAAGAAAATAATAATAATAAAGATATGACTAAAATGAACTTAATTTTAAAGAACATTTCGACATTCGCTGAAAATGCTGATGGATTTTCTTCTTGTGGGCAGGCATTTGTTGATCAGATAACAAACCCTAAAAGCTGGCATATATTTTTCATCTGGAAGAAATTTAAGAATCATTTGTTCCACTGAAGAATTGGGATCTATAAAAGTTTCATTAATGTAACTCATTTGGTTGATGAAATGAAATATAACTTATTATTTTGTTATTTTCTAAATGGAATGGATCTTTAACAGTTTAGTATTTTTTTTTCTATTTGTTTGTAAATTTATTAAAGTAATCAACGTTTAAATTATGTTAAATGAAAGAATGCCTTTTTGGCTTTGTGTTTGACAAAATTGCAAGAATGGTCCCTGTGGTTAGGTGGAAATTGCCACTTTGGGCCAAAAAGGTTTGGGCTAACACTGATGGTCCAAAGGTTTGCATTTTGTTGCCACTTTGGTCCAAAACCTTAACTGCCGTCACTTTTCCCCCGTTACCATCCATTTGACTTGTCAAAGGGAGGGTATTTTCGTCATTTAATTAATAAAATCCTTTTACGTATCTCCCCCTTACCGCCATACGGATAAAAGCGTCGATCATACTCACATTTATAGTCCTAATTACATAGTTAGTCGTTTCCACTTCGATTGTCATTAACTGAGGATCAAGAACCCTAATCCCATTTCCAGCTTGTGAGCTTCGATCAAGTGAGTTGATCAGTTAATGCAAATACCAATGTGGAATGTAAGGTTGTATGAGAAACCATTCAACGCAAGGGCGGTTTATGGTACGTATTTTTTTTTTTATTTTGCTCACTAAGTTGCATTTTTATGTGAAATCCTCTCATCTGAAACTTCTTTTTTGTTCTTGTTTTGAAGATGGACACCCTACTCTGTTTACCATCAAGCTACATCATGGGGGTGAGTTCACAAAGTTTCCAGATGTGAACTACATTGATGGAACTGTGACATACATTGACATGGTGGATATAGAAGAGTTTTCTGTTCATGAAATGGATGCCATCATGAAAGGGTTAGGATACTCTGTTCCTCCAGTTATCTATTATCATTTTCGGTTGCCCAAAGGAGACATGCATTTTGGACTACGTGCCCTAAGAAACGATGATGATGTTCGTAATCTTGCCCAATATGTGAAGGAGCATAAACTCATAAGGGTGTACACTGAACACGGTATTACAAAATTGCTTACTTACTTTATGGCTCCTAAACCTGTTAAAAAGGTTACTATTGAGCAATTAGATGAAATTGAGGAACATGAAACCACCACAACTGATAACCAAGCTAGTGATAGGAAAAGGAGTTGGACCAAGGACAAATCTTTGTCATTATCCCCTGTTTTACATAATGAAGGTGCTTTGTCATTATCCCCTGTTTTACATAGTGAAGGTGCTTTCTCATTATCCCCTGAGTATAATAGGAAAAGGAGTTGGACCAAGGACAAAGCTTTGTCATCATGCAGTAAGAAATTGGTCATGGATGATGTTGGTGAAGTTAATATAGGTGGGGATAAGGATCATGCACCTAATGATTTTGATGAGGCAGCTAATGAATTTGATCTTGGTTTGTACCAACAGATTTTACAATCTAATTCTGAATTTGATAATGAAGTCAATGAAGAGAAGGCAGGGGAGGAGGTACTTAATGAATTTGATGAGGGAGTCAATGAAGGGAAGGAAAGGGAGGAGGTAGTTAATGAAGTTAGTGATAATATAGATATGAGGGATTATGAGAAGGATGCTAGAGTTGAAGATGATGTAGATATGGGGGGTTATCAGATGGATGTTGGAATTGAAGATGAAGTTACTCATAATATAGATGAGGATGAAAGAAGTGATAGGGAGGAGGATAGTGATGAAAGAAGTGATGGGGAGGAGGATAGTGATGACAATGACTTTTGGGTAGATGAGGATAACATAATTCCTGAAGTAGAGGTAGATATGAAGGATTTTTACATGAGTGTTGATCTGGAAGCTGAATTTATGGAAAAGAGAGTAACAAATCCCATGCATAATGACAGTGATGAAGATCCTAAAGACCCAGAAGAAGGGAGAGAATGGTAATGGTGCTAGTGGGAGTCAAACTCATGGGGCTAGTGGGAGTCAAACTCATGCTGCTAGTGGGAGTGGGAAGTTGACAAGGAAGTTTATTAGTGTAACTTGCAGCAAGTGCAAAAATAAAGGGCACAATGCTAGAACTTGCAAGGGCCAAGTAGGAAATTGATGGGGTTTGAAGCTAGTTTGATGTCTTTTGGGTTTTACATGTCAATTGCTTATGTTTATTGTATGTTATGTAGTTGATGTCTTTTGGTGTGGAAGATACATTGATATTACTTTTGGTACTTGATAGTATGCAGACATGTCTAGTTTGTATTTTGATGTATGGGAAAAAACTTATCAGAAATTTAATGTTATGGTTTATGGTATGTTAAATTTGATGTTAATTGCATATTTTACAATGTTTAAATCATACAATTGGATGTTATGGTTTATGGTATGTTTAATTTGATGTTAATTGCATATTTTACAATGTTTAAATCATACAATTGGATGATATGGTTTATGGTATGTTCAATTCGATGTTAATTGCATATTTTACAATGTTTAAATCATACACAAATGGAATGGTCAACATATAGATACCAAATATAACTTCCATTAACATTTTGTTGCAAAACATGTCTTACATTGATTACATTGCTTACATCTTGAACAAGTACTACTTTCATACAACTTACCAAAAGATTACATTGCTTACTGCTTACATCTTCAACAAAAAACTAGATACCCAAACTATTACATTCCAAACTACTTGTAAAATAGAACATACACAAAGAAAATCCAACTGCATAACAGGTAAATTTTGAGTCTTGTGGTCTGAGCCTTCAATTTGTTTATTGTCCTCAGCAATCCAGGTATGATGGCTTTTGAACGTTCACACATTGGACCATCATACCACCCAATAAAGCGACACTTGGATCCCTTCAAAATTAAAAAAAAAAAAAAAGCTAACACAGATCTTCACATGCAATGCGAGAATAATGATGCAAATACAAAATCCATTTGCTTACCTCAGTAAGGCATCCCCAGAAACGTCGACCTGAGTTTTTGTCGGTCCATGAAGTGCGAACAATAGCCATTTTACCACAGAAACACAACACCATTGTTAATTTCTTCAGAGGGAAAACGTGAATAGTGACTGTGTTAGGGCTTGTGAAGAAGACGGGAACAAGGGGATAAAAGCTTGAGCATAGTAGTATCATCGATCTTATAGGATCGATCTTATAGGAGGATTTTATTAATTAAATAAAGGGAGTAAAATAGGGAATGACGAAAATACCCTCCCTTTGACAAGTCAAATGGATGGTAACGGGGGAAAAGTGACGGCAGTTAAGGTTTTGGACCAAAGTGGCAACAAAATGCAAACCTTTGGACCATCAATGCTAGCCCAAACCTTTTTGGCCCAAAGTGGCAATTTCCACCTAACCACAGGGACCATTCTTGCAATTTTGTCTTTGTGTTTTAATGTCTATGATAACAATTTGATACTTTAATGAAAAATGAAGAATGTCTTGATGATAATTTCTCAAGCATGACACTAAAACAATCTCTAAGACTAAACAGTGTGGGCAACACCTAACGGTAGAACACATGTCATGTATCGCTAGGTTACATATCATGTGTCATTAGGTATCTAGAATATGACGTAAAGTTTGTAAGATGTAATATAAAGTATGTAACTCTCAATAGTCTAGGGGGCTATATTGTAAATATGTTTCTCGTCTTGCAATCATACGATTGCAATTCAATTATGTAACTGGCTCTCTTGAGCCTATAAATAGGGCCTTTGCCCGTATGGAATAAACAAGAGTTACATACTTTATATTACACCTTACAAACTTTACGTCATATTGTAGATACCTAATGACACATTATATGTAACACCCCCCCCCCCCCTCCCTCTTTCGTTTACAAACTTTACGTCATATTCTAGATACCTAACATCTTTTTTTTTTTTTATTTCTTCATTTTACCGTTGATTAACGGTAATATTGTTTAAAAAAAACAAAACTTTACCTATAAAATCACAATTTTTCTCTACATTCCATATAAAAATCACCATTTTTCTATCTATTCACCACTTTTCTTTCTCTTTTTCATATAATTTCAAAACATTCCACAAACAAAATGAATCTATGATGTACGAGTATTACACGAACGTGCGAATGCAACCAGATCCAACTCCTTTATTAACCAGACGCGCGGTGTTAAACAGAGATCGTGAAGAAGGGCACAGACGTTTAGTTCACGATTATTTTGTGGATGATTGTGTCTACCAGCCACGCAATTTCAAAAGAAGGTTTCGTTTGCTGAAAAATGTATTTGTTCGGATAGCCAACGCGTTGGAAAGCAGGTATTGTTTTTTTGTAATATAGCTTTTACATTATTTTAATACATTGCTTCTTTCAAATATAGCTTTTATATATTAAATATACGTTTAGGTATGAATTTTTCCAAATGAGATATGACGCAAGAGGTAAACAAGGATTCATAGGGTTGCAAAAATGTGTTGCCACAATTAAGCTTATGGCAATAGGAGAGTCGCCTGATTCCATTGACGACTATATGAAAAGGGCTGAGAGAACTAGAAGAGAAAGTTTGTATAGATTGGCGATGAGTGTTGTCGAAACCTTCGGTGACGTTTATTTGCGCAAACCTTCGTTGAATGATATACAACAACTATATGCGGCGCTCAAAGAAAGACATGGTTTTCCGGGTATGCTAGGAAGCATTGATTGCACACACTGGAAAGGCCAGTACGCAAGTGGTCAGCATGTAACGCCTTCGTTGGTACTGGAGGCTCTTGCATCCCAAGATTTATGAATTTGACATGTTTTTTTCGGGGTTGCGGGTTCGAATAACGACGTGAACGTTCTTGATCAGTCACCAATTTTCGACGATATTTTGTCAGGTAAGGATGTGGACATGCTTTTAGAGTTCTGAAGTCGAAATGACACATAGTTGAGTATGCAGCACGACCACATCAGTTAGAGGTTCTACAAGATATTATGTATACATGTATCATAATGCATAACATGGTTGTTGAAGATAAATGACGAAACATTGCAGAGTATTCGGCTTTGGAGCCCATACATATGCAATTTCAACCCGGGACAGCAGAATATTTATGTAGGTTCGTAGATATTCAAGACTAACGAAAACAC